CCCCCCCCCCCAATAATTATTACAGAGAGATCAGGGAAGGGAATCATAAGCTCAAGTCACCAAAGGGCCCCACTAAGGACAATTCTTGGCCCCCCAAAAAAACTACAGAGATACGAATACAAGATATACAAGAGATCAGAGAAAAGATAAATCAGCCCAGAGTCCCCCAGGGCCCCTGTAAGGACAGTTTTTGGGGCCCTCATATATAAGAATTAGGTATAGATCAGGAAAGGGAATCTTAAGCCGGGAGTAACCAAGGGGCCCAAAAAGGAACATTTTGGGGGCCCCTTATATACAAGAATTAGGGATAGATCAGGGAAGGGAATCAGCCCAGAGTCCCCCAGGGCCCCTGTACAATGTTTAGGGTCCTCATATATATGAAATAGGGATAGATCAGGAAAGGGAATCAGCCCGGAGTCACCAAGGGGCCCTGTAAGGACAATTTTTAGGGTCCTCATATATAAGAATTAGGGATAGATCATGGAAGGTAATCATAAGCCTGGAGTCACCAAGGGGCCCCTGTAAGGACAATTTTTGGCCCCCGTATTGAACTACCATCCAGGAACAATCCTATATCCCCGATGGACAGATCCGGACTCTTCCACCCCCTGAACTCTCCCAGTTGGGTCGGTGGCCCAAGGAATGGGGCAGATAATCCATTGGGATATTCCAGTCAGGGGTCCCAGTTGGGACGTCATCATTGGAAAGGTCTCCACTTCAAATCCGGGTCTAAGTGACAGCAAGAAGGGTCCCAGCACCCCCACCTGAGCCACATCCAAGGGGCCCCATGTCCCAGGAGGGGCCCCTATGCAGCAGCACAGCGCACACAGACCATGCGATGAAGATTGCTCCGTGTAGGTGTAAGTCGGATCCCTGGTATATCCTGACAGTACCGGACAGCTCCTGCGATCGGATCCTTACCGGAGGTTCTGGGTGTTCCAGGTGACCGGCTCCAGGTTCTTCCCGAGCAGAGCACACACCCGGCACAGGGCGATGAGCAGCCCGAGCAGCCCCCGCACAGCCTCCATTCCGATCTGATGGCCCCCTCAGGTATCCAAACTGGCCATCACCGATCTCTGCGTACAATCCTGCCAGGGTCCATGGACGGTTCTTTCCCCCCCGGCTCCCGGCTTACACAGCCGCCGCTATGATCCCGCTCCTCCGAGCGCCGGGATTACACTGAGCGACCGCTTCACCAGCCGTCCGCTTCACCCCCGCCCCCGGGGGGCGTGTCCTGTTTAATACCGAGCTCAGCCAATAGCAGGTTGGCCGCGGGAGTCCTCCGCGCCCAGACACGCCCCCGGTGTAATCATGAGGGGCGGTAACCTGAGTGTGCGGCCCCGCCCCTTAAAGTGTCCGGAGCCGCCCCATGGAGTCGGAGTTCGGCTTCAGCAAGTGTGTGATCTGCGGATGGGTTGGATCGGTGCGAATATAGGGTCCCCATGTGATATGGGGGCCCCCCGATGTGTGCACGGATCATGTATGGGGGCCCCTGATGTGTGCACAGATCATGTATGGGGCTGGGGGTCCCCGATGTGCGCAGATCATGTATGGGGGGTCCGTGTTCTATGGTGGCTCCCGATGTGTGCACAGATCATGTATGGGGGCCCCGATGTGTGCACAGATCATGTATGGGGGCCCCGATGTGTGCACAGATCATGTATGGGGGCCCCGATGTGTGCACAGATCATGTATGGGGGCCCCGATGTGTGCACAGATCATGTATGGGGGCCCCGATGTGTGTAAAGATCATGTATGGGGGGCACAGATCATATATGGGGCCCCCAATGTGTGCAGATCATGTATGGGGGTCCCCGATGTGTGCTGATCATGTATGGGGGGGTTCCCGTGTTCTATGGTGGCTCCCGATGTGTGTACAGATCATGTATGGGGGTTCCCCGACGTGTGCATCCTAACCCCCCACTTCCTGTTATGGGGTGACAACACTCTGTCCCTGTACAGACACTTCCTGTTATAGGGTGACAACGCTCTGTCCTTGTTCAGACACTTCCTGTTATAGGGTGACAATGCTCTGTCCTTGTTCAGACACTTCCTGTTATAGGGTGACAACGCTCTGTCGTGTTTACCACTTCTGCCCCTGCGTTGTCAGCTTGTCACATGATCTTCACACTGCCATTTCAGCACACATTACACAGGCACGGTCCACTGTTGTCACCATCAGGAAACCCGCCCTGAGAAGTGTCATGGCAGCCATCGCTGTAGTGCATGTGGACAGGAAGTGGCTGCAGGAGATGGGTGTGTGGGAATGTCGGGGTACATGGTCTCTGGTGGCGGGGGCTGGCTGAGTCTTGGACTCCAGCACACATGTTGGGTAGGATGAATTCCCGCGGCGTGCGTTGCCGGGATCTCGGTGGAGACGTGCGATCTGCAGCGACACGTTTTACGGGAGGTGAGGTCGGCGTTCGGCGGCTCATAGTGACACTTTTATGGGCGTCTCTATTTTGGGTCACATTAGGGGGATTAGAAGATGGCGGCCGGACCGCGTGATGCCGCCGATTTATAAGCCGTCCAGGTGCTGCGAGCGTGGCGTCTCCACAGGAAGCATTCCTACTACAAAGTTCCTTCTACTTCCTGTCCCCGAACGTCCGACGTCTGAAAATACACCCGGGGAGATTCCCCTTCATTGTGTGTCCGAAATAATCCTCCCTCTGATCTCCTGCAGCCTCTTCGCTGCCACTTCCTGTCTACATGACTCCGGCGATGGCTGCATGACACTTCTCAGGGCGGGTTTCCTGATGGTGACAACAGTGGATCGTGTCTGTGTATTGTGTGCAGGCACTTGTAGTCCCCATCGGAAGCCCGTGTGACAACCCAGGAGAGCAATTGGAAGACAGGGACAGAGCATTGTCACCCTATAACAGGAAGTGACTGAACAAGGACAGAGCGTTGTCACCCTATAACAGGAAGTGTCTGAATAAGGACAGAGCGTTGTCACCCTATAACAGGAAGTGACTGAACAAGGACAGAGCGTTGTCACCCTATAACAGGAAGTGTCTGAACAAGGACAGAGTGTTGTCATCCTATAACAGGAAGCGCCTGAACAAGGACAGAGCATTGTCACCCTATAACAGGAAGTGTCTGAATAGGGAGAGAGTGTTGTCACCATAAAGTTGTGTGAGTCTCTTACCCAGGATTCATACATCTTTCACCTATGATTCACCCATTTTTCCAAATGAATGCTATTGCAAAATTGGTGAAAGTTGTGTGAATCTCTCTAATCCCACCCTGGATTCACACCACTTTCACTAATTGAATCTAAGTTTTAAAAAACTGGTGAATCTGGGGTAACAGTTGAGGGAATCTCTCGATAGTCTTACCAGGATTCACACAACTTTCAACTAGAATTCACACATTTTCCCCAACTGAATCTAAGTAGAAAGTTGTGTGAATCCTGGGTGAGTGGCGTGAATCCTGAGTGAGAGTTGTGTGAATCCTGGGTGAGAGTTGTGTAAATCCTGAGTGAGAGTTGTGTGAATCCTGAGTGAGAGTTGTGTAAATCCTGGGTGAGAGTTGTGTGAATCGTGAGTGAGAGTTGTGTGAATCCTGAGTGAGAGTTGTGTGAATCCTGGGTGAGAGTTGTGTGAATCCTGAGTGAGAGTTGTGTGAATCCTGGGTGAGAGTTGTGTGAATCCTGAGTGAGAGTTGTGTGAATCCTGAGTGAGAGTTGTGTGAATCCTGGGTGAGAGTTGTGTGAATCCTGGGTGAGAGTTGTGTGAATCGTGAGTGAGAGTTGTGTGAATCCTGGGTGAGAGTTGTGTGAATCCTGAGTGAGAGTTGTGTGAATCCTGAGTGAGAGTTGTGTAAATCCTGGGTGAGAGTTGTGTGAATCGTGAGTGAGAGTTGTGTGAATCCTGGGTGAGAGTTGTGTGAATCCTGAGTGAGAGTTGTGTGAATCCTGAGTGAGAGTTGTGTGAATCCTGGGTGAGAGTTGTGTGAATCTCATTAATCTTGCTCAGGACTGACACAACTTTCACCCAGAATGAACACAGCTTTCCCAATTGAATCAGAGTAGAAAACTGTGTGAATGTTGGGCCGCAGTTGTGTAAATCTCTTTTTGATCTCACTTAGGGTGCCCACACACCTTACGATTATCGTGGGAAATGCCGCGATCGTACGATGTTCGTAAGGTGTGTGGAAGTCGTTAGATGGTGGAGCGACGGCGCCCCCCACTGGAGGCCGGGAGGCCGCTGGAACTGCACACTGAGACCGTCTGCGGAGGGGAAGCTTCACCTTACGGGACCGAGAGCTGGAAATGGTTCCCCAGTCCGGCCGCGTATTGTTTTAGCTGCGACGCTCTGCAGATCCCGGCGACCGATGATCCCCCCTCTGTGTGCGGGCGCGATGGTCTGCAGGACGAGCCGCCGCATGCCTGGGTCCCCTCCAGCAGAACTGGAATGTGAGGGATTGTTGGGCTCCGCCTGATAAGATCTGGGACAGGACACGACAAGAGACACACGAGGCGGCAATCACAACATGCCGAGGAAGAGGAGGCGACGGCCTCTG